ATTCGTGCATATGCTAAAATATCAAACGTTTGGGGTGTGGTTCTCTAAAGACCAAAGTTGAGGGAAGTGAAAGCAAATTACCCTTGTTCAAAGGTAGACATTGCTAACAAAATGGTTCGATATGTGAAGAAAATTAGAATCCATTAATAGTTGGACACGTGTACACATTTAATACGGACCGGCTTAATTATATTACTTAATGAAGAGACCCGCAACGAACTGTATATATATATAATATATATATGCATCGGGTAAACCTGCGCTCTCGTACAACAACTCGTTCTAAATTATACGAGAGACGTAAACTACACTAGACTAACAATATTTTATGCCAATGGTGTGCAAGGGAACACGGACATAACTATATTTTACCGGTTCGGTTCAGGCTCCAATTTTGGAGGAAACGGAACGGTTCTGTTCCCGGTTAGAACCGTCCGGTTCTTAATATATATATATATATATATATATATATATATATATATATATATATATATATATATATTTTTTTTTTTAAACCGGTTCAAACGGTTAGAACCGCAGTTCTAACCGTCGGTTCTCTGTTCAAAAAATGAGCAATCGGAACCGAACCGTTTTTTTCGGTTCCGGTTCCGGTTCTAGTCAAACCGATTCCCGTCCAGTTCTAAAATAGTTGACCTCGGTTCAGTTCCGGTTCTAGCTGAAGCGGTGGTCATGTCTAGGTACTTCTGCCGCTCATATGTAGCTTTCATAAATTTATATGCAAGTTAAGTAATTTACTATAAATTGATTGCTCGAAATAAATTGGTCATATAAATACACATTAAATAAATAAATAAAATATATAGTGAAAACACTACCTACCCGGACCGGAATGTTGGACCACCACCGTCGGTCCATGTTTAAAACAAGTTACTATTTAAGAAAGATTAAAATCTATTTTTAGTATTTATAATTTAATCAATGTCCCTCTTTAAAACAATGAACTATATTTAATCGCTAGGCCTAGGGGTGCAAGTCGGAACGGAAATTTCAATTTCCGTCGGTTTCGATCTAAATTTTATTAGATACTATGTTGTGTTCACTTTTATTTATTTGTTGAACTAAATTTTAGTAGCTATTAGTTTTACTTTTATCGTCGTGGACGTTTTTATTTTTGGAAAATTGTGAACATTTTAGAAAATTTTCGCTATGTTTTGAAAATTTTAAGCTAATGTTTTTGTGTTAAGGATAAACTTTCTTTAAAAAAAATTCAAATATTTAAATATGAAAAACAACTCCAAGTTCAAATAGTTTTTTCCATTAAATAAATAAAAAATATTTGCACTAAAGAGAAAAAAGGAAATGGATTAATTAGAAATTATAAAGATGTTTATCTCCATTCATTTATAACTATCGAAGTATATTTAATAGTTTTTATAGTTTAGGGGTACTCAATGAAAAAGGGTATAGTTAACGAATATTTGATGGTTTCAAAGTTTAGGAGATACTTGATGCATATGGTATAGTTTAGGGGTAGAAAGTATAATTAATAGGAAAATAAATTTAGTCTAACTAACCATGCCTATACTTTAGATTTTCAGAATGGACTTCATAAATATAGGACGACTTTTAGTAAACGAAAAATATTTTTTTAAAAATTAAAACCTATTTAATGTATGTGTAATAGACGCTAAAACAAGAAATTTGTGCATAACTTAGACGCATTGATATATACCTTGCGTGTAATTCACGCGCAACGACGACTAACTCGGTCTATTGCAAACACCCTTTATCCGGATTTATGAAGCTTTCCTAGTTCGAAATTGTCCACCCATTTTGTTGTTCCAATCCGACAAAATTCACATAGAATTCAACATCAAAGAAATATGATGCATGCACATAAAATTCAACATCTAAGAAATATGATACATACATATGTAATAAATACAACTTCAAACAATAATGGATAGTTTTTGAAGTTTGAATTTCTCTCAACAAATCCAAACCATTACATAGTTTATTTTCTAAACATAGCATAAGAACTAATCTTGAATTAATACATATATAGTATAACAAGTACAGACACACACAATATATACTTTAAAAATATAATTAATGCAATATAATTAAATATATAATAAATGAGTAAAATAATGAAAAGGTTTTCCAGCCCTCAAGTCCAAAAGTCCCAAATGCCCATGTGAAGATCCGATAGATCGCTCCACCCATCCAGGGCAGCATCAGGGGCAGAGTTGTCATTTCCATATCCAAAATTCGATCGTTCTTCTTCCTGCCACGTCAGCATATTCCACGTCGACCCTTCACGGAATCCTTGAAACGCGATTTCATTTGGCGATTCCACTAATAAGGAAGCTGCCTTGTCATAAGGATCAATATTTTTATCCGAGCAAATTTTTGGTTTGCATATTTCAATATTATTATTATCATTATCCGTGGTCGGATTATTATTATTATTATTATTATTATTATTATTATTATTATTATTATTATTATTATTATTATTATTATTATTATTATTATTATTATTATTAGAATTTGCCATTTTCGAGAAGGACCAAGGCCGAGGTTTTACGATCTCGTAGTAGTGTTCTGGCTTCTTCAGGGTTTTGTCCCCTTCGCCGCCAGCCACGTCATCACCCTCTACATCTTCTGCCACATCATCATCATCATCTGCCACGTCATCATCATCATCATCGGAAATAGATAGAAGAAGCTTCTTGTGAAGATGGGTGTTCCAGTAGTTCTTCACGTCGTTAGCAGTTCTCCCAGGTATTCTGCCGGCGATCAAACTCCATCTGCATGCATGCTTCTTCAAAAATTAAATATTATATATATATATATATATATATATATATATATATATATATATATTACTGCACGTGCGTTTAATTCGTTCTTGAAAAAATAACAAAAAAATTTATAAAGATGCATATTAATCACAAATTACAATCAAATAATATTCTCATGACAACATGGTCTACTACGTACTGTCTTTAGATATATATATGGGTAAATTACACCTACACCCATAAGATATGCTAAAATAACTTTAAGGTCCTCGTAGTATTGGTAATTACAGTCACACCCCTGAAATAATTATCCGAGCCAAGATTTCAGGTCCTGACAACCGTTAATGCTGCCATAGACAAAAATTTATAAATCTTATAGAAAATAATAAGAATTTAAGAAATGTTAGGATATCCGTGTCACCCAGTAGCTCTATGTTACGTTGTCTCCAACACTGCCTAAAACTAATAGTCCGTAGGGTTAATTTCTAACAATGTTTCAGGGGGCTGATTGTAATTACCGATACTACAAAGACCTTAAATTTATTTTAGCATACATCAATGATACTGTATCAATGTTTAATTTACCCTACATATATTACACATTGATCATACATATGACTTGCCTGTTTCCTAAGAGCTTACGAAGCCTTAAAACGAGGTCGATTTCGTCATCAGAAAACGGTCCTCTCTTTCTTCCTGGTTTCAAATAGTTCAACCATCTTAGCCTGCAGCTTTTCCTGCACCTTTTCAACCCTAGATATTTAAAAAAAAAAAAAAAATCAATTTTTGATTTTTTTTTTCATGTGTGTGTGTGTGTGTGTATATATATATATATATATATATATATATGTTACCTGTTTTGATAGGGATCTGATGCCATTTGCCTTCACCATGCTTCTTCACAAATTTTGTGAGTAGAAAATCCTCTTCTTTTGTCCATGCACCTTTCCTTACACTTGTGACCGGAGTACTGTCACTCATTTTTTCATATATAATAATTATTTATTTATTTATTTATGCAAAATGCAATGCCGAATATATAATGAATTAACATTTCTGAGCATTGGAACATTATATAAGAATACATATATGCAATAATACTGTCAGTCTCTTCAATGCGATTTCATTAATTATCAAAAACGACGTACGCGCACTCTTTTAATTTCTTGTTACGGTAAACGCCCATCGCTCCTTCATTTACTAAAATACAAGACACGTTTTTATTAGCTGAAAGTCGATGGGAACATTTTTTTTTTCAACCATTTTATTACGTTTTTCAGTTAATTTCAGAAGTTTGTTGTCAGTTTTCAGCTAATTAATTTTAAAGTTCAGTACTCAAAATGTTCATAAAATTACTGTCACATTTGTTATTAACATATTATTTTTGTCATATAAAACATGGTCTTATAAGCTTCAAGAGAATTGATCTCCTTGCAATATTATGTTAGTTGATCATATCATAGAAATATTATTGGGCCAATATATTCAGGGATGTTATCAGACTATTCTGACACTTTACCTAACCTTATTTTGTGATTAATTTATTTTCTCAAGTGAGCACCCTACTTCAATCAATTCTGTCGTGGAAAAGCCCACCATATTAAAAAGGTTAAATTACAATCAACCCCGAGACTCAAATTATGAAAAACCCTCTCTTGTTTGGGTAATTACAACCACCCCTCAACTATAAATCTTTTTACATGTCCACCCTTGCGGTTTCAAATTTTGTGGAATTTTCTAGATACCCGTTTTATCCAATTCGAGATCTCCACATTTTAAAGCAAGATGATTATAATATGTGTTTTTTGACTTGTATATATATTAAATTGTGGTGCATCATAAAATGTGTTGTTACACAAAATGAGTACGAACTAGAGCACATTCTATAGAATCTAGATAATTATGTTGAATTTGACATCATAAGGGTGGGGGTATGAAAAAATCATAGTTAAGGGGTAGATGTAATTATCCAAACAAGAAGGATTTTTTCATGATTTGACCATACCTCAGGGATGGTTGTAATTTTTCCTATTAAAAAAAAAAAGTTTACAAAGTATATATATATATATATATATATATATATATATATATATTGTTTTCTTTAGGTTCAAATAGGAGCGAATGTAAGAAGTTTTTGTTGGGGAACAAGTTTACAGGGTTCAGGATCATTGCCCCGATATTTATTTTAGCAATTGCTTTAGAAAGCAATAATAATTCTAATTTTTTAGTGAATGTAACACAAGCATAGATCAATATTATTGAAACTCCTTTAAATATATAAATCATGGTATTTTTATTTTTTTAGGAGGCAAATAGATAGACTAAAAAAGGGGCAAATGACAAGTAACTCCCATGACAAGAAACTTAATTACGCATAGATCGGACAAAAAATAGTCTCTCAAAATAAACTCATTCCCATTTCTTTTGTTTAAAGTACTCCTCATAATATAATTTTCATCAATTCCATTAATTATACCAATTTCATCAATATTTCACGTTTACTCCGATTTGAACAAATATATCACATTAACCCCCAATTTTATATTTTTTTGAGAAAAGTATTTTATTTTTAGAAAATAACTGATTATTTTTCCGGCCAGATTTCGGCGTTGACCTCGCGGTTCTCCGACGTCGATTTATTTTTTTGAACTTTTTTTTCTTGGAATTTTTTTCCGGCCAGTCAACCGCCGATTTCTGACGTTGACTTTTTTTTTCAAACTTTATTTTCTCTCTCTCTAAATTACTGTGTTGAGCCTATTTGTCATTTACCTAAAAGAAAACCTAATAAAAAAATTAAAAATAAAAATAATCTGGAGGGGCGGCTATTATCACCTTGGGTTCAAGTGTAGTTCGAATACTACTACTCATATATGATATATACCTTACATGCTCCGATGTTTTGAACATGTCCAAACATTAAAAGAGAAAAAGACATTTTAAACATATCGAAAATGAAAAGAAGAAAAAGTCCAATTTGGCACGCAACTTAGAGTCGCACGGCTTATGAGATCCTACACCTGATAAAATTTATCATATGCTTTTAAACCGTATATATTTATGTAAATAACTATCTACTAAGCACACATATATGTGTACATCTACGATTTAAAATCACATGGTATATTTCATGCAAGTTTGTTTTTGTGTTATTGAAGTAAAACAATATAAGTGTACACGTAGTATGAACACGAGAGTGTGATGAAGACAACAAAATGGCTTAGTTTTTGTCGTGCTAAGATGAAGTGCACATTATAAATGAATTTATATCATTCAACTACACACAATACTTGAATGTATTATGTGATGTTATATGTTCGATGTATGTATGGACTTTCCTTCATATAGGTACCATAAAACATAATAAATCCCAAGTTTGAAAAAAAATAAAAAAAATAGTAATACTTGATGTATTATATATTTATATGTGTTATTTCTATACTACACTCGAGTGAAGACTGTAATAGATAATTTTTTTATCATTGATATACACATGGACGTGTGTGTATATGAATGGTAAATATTTACACGGTATAACATATAATAGACCATATTATACGACTTATTAAGTTTGATCTATTAAAATTCAACCTCATATGATAGGATCTCAATAAATTAATAATCTCGTTTAAATATTAATAATTTCATCTGATTTCGGCTCGACGAGAATGTATTGAATTATTAATTCGATAATCTAATATTTCGATAATACTAGTAAAAGCAATAGTTTTTCACTACGGCCATTAATTGGATAATATTAATTCAATTTTAATCTAAACAAAAGGTACAAAAATATATTAGAATATATTTGTTTTTTTTTTTTTTGTAAAAAAATGTCTCATTCTTCTGCTCACCATGCTTTTCATGTAAACTTGGGATAAGGGAGGGAGAGAGAGAGAGAGAGAGAGAGAGAGAGAGAGAGAGAGAGAGAGAGAGAGAGAGAGAGAGAGAGAGAAATTTGGGGAGAGATGGTAGGCGCCAGTGGTTATTGAGATGCTATACAGTGTGTTTTTTAATAGTTAACGTAGTTAAATAATCATCCACTAAGCACATATACATGTGTGCGTATGATTATGTGCAGATCAATGGTTAATAACTATCTGAAATTTTTTACCGCGTATGGCATCAATAAACCGGGGTTGCAAGGGGCTGATATTCAAAGTGCATTATGCATGATTTATTGAAGGGTACAAAATGCTATTAATTTTTTTTAGGATGCAAAGTGGCAAAAGTTATATTTTAAGGGAGCAAAGTGGAATTAGGCCACAATTCACAAAATTGATAATAAAAATTTGTCAAAAGGATAACATCTACAATAGAAATATATTTTAGTAGTCGATAGCAATTTAAGGTTCGATCTGGCCCAGCCAGTTGATTTCGCTTTATCCAATTACTAGTATATGTCTTATTTTTTAGGGTGCATTAGTCCACAACCAAATATGTTTATTATTCTAGGTTTAGGGACTATATTTCTTTCACTAATAAGTTCATCCCTTTAATATTTATTATAAATAAATGAAACATTTATGTATATGCCAATATTACCCTCAACCCTTTATATCCAATTCTTAATTGTAACCCTTATTTAATCAATTTTGTCCACAAAAATCCAATTTTGACCACAAAAACTCAATTTTGACTTTTTTTCAGCATACTTTAATATGCTCCAGTTTCATCCTTAACTTTATTTAATCTCAATTTGACCCCAAATTTCCAAATTATTCAATTTTGACCCGAAACGTTTTTTTCTTTCAAAAAAAAATAATTTCCAAATTTTTTTTTTTGCGGCCGGATTCCGGCGTTAACTTTTTTTTTTTTTGCTTTTTTCTTTTCTTTTCTTCCGGATTTTTTCGCCGGTTTCCGACGTTGATTTTTTTTAGTGTTTTTTTAAGTTTTTTTTTTGTTTTTTTTTACGTCCGCCGCTAAACGTTGACCGTAATTGTACTGACACTGACAGTAAAATAACGTAATTATACTGTCAATGACAGTTTATTAACGTAATTGTACTGCCGTTGACAATACATTTATGTAATTGTGCTGCCGTTGACAGTAAATTAATGTAATATTATTATTTTTTATTTTTTGTTGTTTTTTTTTATTTTGTTTGATTTGTTGACAAGTCAACGTAATTATATTACTGTCGTTGACAGTAAAATAACAGTAAACACAATAATACTGTCAATAACATCAATATTATTATTTTTTTGGGTTTTTTGTTTTGTTTGAGTTATTCACGGAGTAACGTAATAATATTACTGTCTATTATTGTAATATTAATGTAAACACAATAATATTACTGTGGTTGACGGTAATATTACTGTTGTTATAGTAATATTGTTGTCAACCACATCAATATTATTATTTGTTTGGATTTTTTGTTTGTTTGTGTTATTCATGGAGTAATGTAATAATATTACTGTTTATTATTGTAATATTATTGTGTTTGACGGTAATATTACTGTTGTTATTATGTTTACATTTGTTGAACGGTCAACATAGTAATATTACTCTATTACACAATAATAATGAGTTGTGTAGTGTTAATATTATTGTGCTAGAGATTAATATAGCAGTATTACTGTGTTAAACTGTAGTTTAGTTTAATTTTACTGTGCTTAACAGTAATATAGTTAATATTACTGTCAATCACAACAATATTGTCGTTTAAACGAAAAAAAGGGTTACATAAAGAAAGAATAGCAGTTATTTTTACTCAGTAAGAATAAAAAAAATCAAAAATAACATACAGCTAAAAAAAGATTCTTTATATGAAAATGAATCATATTGTAATTAAAAGTGGTGTTTTAAAGAAATATGTAGGATGTTAATTTCATAATAAAAAAAATTGATATTCTTAGAATGTAATTTGTGAATTAATATTAAACATTATAATATATTTTTAAAAATTATGAATGCAACCCTATATTTTCATAATTTACGCGTTACCCCACGTTCCTGTATCCAATTTTTTGAAAAACAGAGTTTCCCTGTATCCGCGTTCCCGTGTCCGTGCTGCAGAGGTGATAAGTAACATAACTTTATAGGAAAAATTACAACCACATCCTTGAGGTAAAGTGTAATTACGAAAAAAAAATTCTTACACCTTGTAAATTTCTTACATCCCAGGGCAAATGGGTGTCAATGTAAAAAAATTATAAATTGTAAGGGGTGGATGTAACTACGGAACAATGATGAGTTTTTTCGTAAAAAAAATTTACCTCAGGGGATGATTGTAATTTATCTTAATTTCATAATATAAAACAAAAAAAAAATCTCCAAAACCATAATTAATTAGAAACTGAGAAAAAATAAAAAATGAAAAATAGATGAAATTATAACAAATGGAAAAACAAATATCTTTATAACAATATAATTTCTATTTTAACAAGAAAATATAATTTAAAAAAAACACTGAAAACTGTGAAAATAAACGTGCAAGCTTAGTTCAAATATTATTATATTATATATATTTTTTTTTAATATTATTAAATTAATAATTAATTAATTAGGCCCCAGTAGGCCCCACGAATCATCATCTCTTTCATCGTTGAATGTGAGAAGCTCCCAAACATCCACGTCAAGGAATAAATCATCAAACTCATCTTCATCCTCCGCCTGCACGGCGGCGCCGCCGTCATCCTCATGCAACTCCGCCGCCATTTCTCTGCACAGCTTCCCCGTTTGAATATCCTCCTCGCCGGAGACCAATATCCCATCTTCCGTCGTAGTAGTTTCAAGCAAATTCCTCCACCACCTTACGATTTCATCCGTCTCGCGCGGCGAAGCCTCCGCCTCCGCCTCCGCCGCGGCGGAAGAAGAAGAAGAAGATGGGTTTCTCTTCTTGTTTGCTTTCGTCGGATTTTCGTCTGTAGGAGGTGATAAGTACGGGAAGGTCCGAGGTCGGGGCCGTACGATGTTGGTGGACGTAATCGCTTTATGCACAACTTTGGCCGCCGCCGCCGCAGCCCTCGCAGTAATTTCTCCGCCGTCTCCGCCGCCGCCGCCGTAGAGAAGCTTCTTTTCAATGTGGCTGTTCCAGACGTTCTTCACGTCGTTGGCCGTTCTTCCCGGAAGTCTACCGGCGATTAGTGACCATCTGCGTCCAAAATTAATTCATATATATATATATATATATATATATATATATATATATATATATATATATATATATAGATTTTCAAAAAAATATGGCAGTGTTTATGATTAATATAAATCTCTTTGGATCTATTTATTAACAAGTTTTTTTTTTTTTTTTTTGAGTAAATTTATTACTAAGATTTTTATATTAATAATTAAATCATGCTTGCATTTTAAATATAGCAAAAATAAAAATGTACAGCTTGATTAAAATCTCAGAATTGTTAGTAATTGTTTAGAAGAAATTAAATTAGCCAATTAATATTTCAAGAAAACAACAAGCTATATATTACTATATATTATTTGAATTCCAATTAATATTTAATAAATGCATTTATATATCCTCAAAACCCCATTAATTAAATTTCATTGTACTTTAATATTTCATAAACTTACATTTTCTCTCTAAAATCTCATATGTCCACACATATAAATAACTACTATAATTATTATCAAGAATTAGTAAAACATAAAAAAAAAGGCATATATATAAATATATATTATATAAAATATAATACATTATTATATATATATATATATATATATATATATATATATATATATATATATATATATATATATATAATTTAGAATAAATAACCTGTTTCCCAAGAGCTTATGAAGCCTGATAATAAGATCAACTTCATCATTGTTAAATTGACCTCTTTTAATATTTGGCTTCAGATAGTTCAACCATCTCAACCTACAACTCTTTCTGCATCTGTTCAGCCCTGCAATTAATTAAATAAATAATTATTCATAAAACCCTAAACAAAATAAAAAAATAAAAAATATATATATATAAATATTTTCATGCAAAAAAAAAAAGAAAGAAAAAAAAAAGGGAATGTAATAATGACCACCTGCTCTAAGAGGTACAAGATGCCATTTTCCTTCACCAAAATTCTCAATGCATTTCCTCAGGAGTACGTCTTCTTCTGTGGACCATGCACCTTTTCTTACACCTACAGGTGTGTTTTCCATGCTCTGTAATAATTTATATATTTTTTCTTTCTTTCTTTCTTTTTTTTTTTTTTTTAAAAAAATTATTTCAATCTTCAAAAAATATATATATGTAAAATTGCATTTAAGACACACAGACCAAAGGGATAGTATGTATTTATAAATGGAGCAACACCTATCTACTTATCTGCTGCCTCTTTCTATTCGCGACTGTTTTCTTATCGAATGGAGCTCGGTTCTCACTTATTTATACACCTTTTTTAGGGTTTCAGGTTGGTTTTTTTTTTCTTTTTCTTTTTGACTGTTTGACGAGCAGATGTAACCGTATGGTAGATGTTATACACACGTATGAGTGTGCGGAGGGGAGGACGCATGGCATTTTATTTGGGGTCGAGGGTCGGTTTTCTTTTTTTTTTTTTTTTTTCCGAAAATAAATACAATGAAAACGTAGATTAATGTTTTTCGGTGGTTCTAGAATTATTAAAAGAAATTGCTAAAATGCCCCCATTTTTATACTAGCAAAAATATTATGGCCGTTGGAATTGAATTCTATGTAACAGACACATAGAAATCATTTTAGGTGATAAATGGAATATAAATAGGGTAACAAAAGGAAAACACATTCAAATTAAATGCACAGTAAATAACAAACAACGGTCAAGTTTTTATTTTAACTACCCCACAATGTAATACCCCACTTACATTAATAAAAATTTGAAATAGAATATACTCCCTCCATTTTAAAATAATTATAAAGAAATTTAATAAATAGACTCCTTGTTTATTGGAAAAATATCAATTTGCTCTTTACAAGCCTTAGAAGAAAAATAAAGTAGTTGTTCAAGTTAATGAGTTTGAACAATCAATGATATATTAAGAGAGAGAAAAATAATTTAAAGTGACATTTAATATAAAAAAGAAAATGGCAAAAACCAAAATTTGGCCAAAGTGATAGTAATTTGAAATGAAGAGAGTAATGATTAAACTCTTTGTTAGAATGTATCAAGTGCCTTCACATATACACCTTGATTTAGTATTAAATATTTTTGTTTCTAGCTAGAATAAAAAAAAAATGAATTGATCTTTGAGGTACGTAAGAATTATATTTGGTGACGGATCCACCTTTTGGTAAGTGTAGACTTCAACCTACCCTCAACTCCAATTTACCACATTATAGTTCATTATTTATTTAATTAGTCTACTAAAGTATTTTGATCAACTAATTAAGGTGTAACTAAGCTGGAAGATCAGTCCACGTGGAAGAAAATGAAGGAGCTGATTAAAGTCAGTTGAAAGTCCCGAGTGCAGTAGATAATTTACTCTCGTAACTAACCCTATGATCAGTCAAATTCGCCAGTATTTTAAACTGTCTACCACGCAATATATCCTGAAAATGAATAGTAAATAAAATATATGGAAAATGTTTATATGCAAATGGTGTTTGAAGTGTAATGATGGGATGATTTGCAGGATATGAAATGGTTGTTGAGGTACTTGAAAGAAGCTCATAAATCGGGATTAAGGTTTGAAAGAAGTGAAGAAACTAGTGATGCACTGAAGATATTTGTTGATTTAGATTTTGTTGGAAGTGTTGATCCTATAGAGATTAGCTGATTAGTGCGATCAGTGATTGAAGTATCTTGATCAACTAATCGAAGTGGAGTTGAGCTGGAAGATCAATCCACGTGGAAGAAGGTGAAGGAGTTGATTAAAGTTCGTTGAAAGCCTCGGGTGCATTGAATAACTTACTTTCCTAACTAACTTTGTGATGAGGTGGCATATGTTAATTCGAGATAAATGGATCAACGCAGCTAGATGGGGAAGCTTCTAGAAGGATTCCTTGCGAGATATATAAGGAATGATGAGCTGCTAAAGTTAGTAAAACACTTTGTTCCATAAACACGCACTAGATTCTTGATCTCTTGTAATCTTTATAATCTCTATATAACTATGTGGTGTTTATAAATCAATAAATTAAATGATGCTCTCTCCCGTGGATGTAGGTCATTCAAGGCTGAACCGTGTAATCCTTTTGTGCAGCAAACAATCTATTAGAGTATATTATATTATAAGAACTCTTGTAATATTATGATTCTATTATGATTCAGTTACCTAGATTAGTTAGAATTTGGTTATCTAGTGAAACTCTATTACCTCGTATTATTTATCTATATATATTCCATGTAAATCAACCCATAATATAATGAATGTTTGTATTACGTATTATTATTTCTCTATTTCTCCTATTTTATTCTTCCTATACAATCATTCAAAAAATTCGGGACCCCGTACCTGAAATTCCTCCCGGTTCTTAATAGGTCCACAGCTACATACAACCTTGATTATGGTACATTCTCGATTTTGGACCACGCGCGTACGATAATGGTCGAGTCTACTAAGTCTACTAAAAATGGTAAAGAAATAGCACAAAAGACAACCCTAAACTTCTGGGTGGATTCATCGCTACAAATTGACGATGACAGAAATAATACACACTATACCATATTTGTAATGTTGGACAAGAGGGACAATTTGCTCGTGATCTCATTACATCACACAAATGTATTTAATTTAATTTTTCAAGAATTAATAAATATAAATATATCATTTAAAGAACAACAAAAATTAAATAAATTCGGCTGCACTGCAGAATTAAGCAGGTTTGTTGTAACGTGGAAAAGGGATTTTGTTGCGCTCAACATTCAACAGTTTGTTGAGTCGGTCAACGGTTGGTTTGCACTCAACAGTCAACCGTTTTCAATGATATATATTTATGGACATACTTGTAATTAATTTATGTTTCTTTTGTTTATCCATGTAAAAAACACAATTTAATAACATGATGTACCGAATATCATATAGGCACTTTTTTTTTTGAATTCCGGTATTTCAGTACGGTATACGGTATTGATGTTCGGCATACGGTATTATACTGAATACCGAAATATTTAATATTATTTTAAATCATTTATGGTTATAAAAAATATAAAATACTTATAGATTATAGATTGATAATTTTTTTCATTATTTACAAATTAGCCTGTACTAATAATTGAATTACAAATCAACCCTTTCCGACACCATAGTTCTAATTGAATTACACAAAATCCATCTTACTTCCAATCGAGTGAGTTCGTGTTGTTCAACACGAGTAGTATATTGAGTTCGTATCGAACAACACAAGCTCAATATTTTATTAATTTAAATAAAAATTATATAAATGCAATGAAATATAATGGTACAGCTACACAAATTTAGTTTATATTTTTATTTTAGTTAATTATGTTTATATGTTATTTACCAAATAATACTAATGCTTATTCAATTATACAATATATTTATTAATATCCAAATTAGAAAAAAAAAAAAAAAAAAAAAAAAAAAAAAACGAAATATCACTTAACTTCACATGGGCTCAATAAATAAACCTTTGGGTTTCATGCTCATAGGATAGGCCCATTGGGCTAATATTTGCCCGTTAATCTGGATTATCTATATCGGTATAATTTGGTTTAGATAAAGAATAATTAATTATCCACGGACTAATTAGTTATTTAGTTAGAACATGTTCGATTCCTTAGATTAGATCTGCAACTAAATCCGTTAAATTCTTGATATTATATGTGATTTCACTACAACTCTAACTATGTGCGTCCAGCTCGACCTAAAAAGTATTGACAAGAAGATTCAAACTCGAGTGAAAATAACAGCGCACTCTCTTACTCCACCAACTAAGGGTACGTTTGATAAGATTAAGCACTGAATGCTGAATGCTGAAAACACATCTGAATGACTAAGAGTTGTTTCTGTATACTGTTTCAGTATGAACCATTAAGCTCATTTGATAGCGGTAGACAACTAATCTCTGAATAATGTTATTTTACCATTATAGCCTTGATTTCTAAAATATTCTGTTAATTAAATTATGAGCAACATATTTGTATAAACAAAATTTTTTTTTTAATTAATTTAATTAGCGAAGTATGATTTTTTAGTAGATATCAAACATTTTTACAGTTATAATACAATTTGAAATATAAATGCCAAACAAATAGAGAAAAAAAGTAACCTTTTAAAATAAAACAACTAAAAGTAACATTGTCTCGTCGTGTAGGTTTTTCGAAAATATTAACGGAGAAAATTTTAGGTTGAATAAGAAAATCAATTGTTTAAAGTAGGATAGTAAAAAAAAAAGTAGGATAATAAACAAGGAATAGATTAGTTAATTTGATTAAGGGTCAATATGTCCAAATCACATTCAGAGATTGGGATGATTCGGTCAGCACCTATCTTTGGGCTGAACCATTAAGAGTCATTTGGACTCATTCAGAACTCATCACCAAATGCACTGAATCCTCTTCCTGCTTACCGAATCAGCAATTTGCTCATTAAGAGGTGTATTAAGTGCAATCAAACTAAAGTCACCAGTATGCTAAACAAAACTTCAAAGGTATAAATAAAAGTTAGCAAAAAATCGAATCGAGATTTCATCGCAAGCAAGGTTTAGGAGATTTACAAATTACACGCACTTAAAAAAATTCGGAAAACAAATATGAAACATATTGAAAACAATTCACACACTTACATTTTAAAATAAGTCGAAAAAAAAATTAAAATTATTTTTACACCAACATAAAGAAATTAATCTTAGTGGCTTTTAGAGCCTCCGGGGACCTTGATCCACTGCAACTTCACCTCGATTTCACCGCATTCGATATTTCTAAGCCGAAGAAACATATGTTGGACAAGTTCTCCATTTTCCCACGTAATCGCACTCTCCTCCGAGAAGCAATTTTCCCTATGTGGTTTCACCTTTGTGATTATTGTTCCGCTCGGAACATTCTCTAGATGCATATCTAGATGCATCTTCAAAGCTTGTACAAACGGCTTTATGTCGAATTCCGCGTCGCCCATTTTGTCGTCTAGGAAAACATCTTCGTCGTAAACGTGCTGCAATAAATAAAAATCAAACACAAATTTTTAAGGTGTGATTTGTGAATAGGTTTTGTGTCTTTACAAAAATAAAATATAAATAAATAAAACTTACGAAGGTGATTGGATGATTTGGATCGGTAACGCACAGCGTAAGTTCGTCGTTCCACTCGGGATTGAGGGTCTTTTTCACCACGCTGGTTTTTAATTTCTGATCCAACAATTAGATCTTCACAAAATCAGCATTTAATGCTTCTAGAGTACTTACATTTACATAACAAATTAAAGGAGAAATTAGCAAAACATACGAGACCATAAAATCGACATATACTTTTGGCAAAACGAAGATAAACCCGTCAAAAATTCATATTTCAGTAGTCGATTCTTGATTCCATCCTAACCATTGGATTTGCTTGAGCAAATATTATAGAGAGTTTAGTGCATTTAGTACCCCTGTGTTATATCGAATTGTCAAAAAAACTCCTCGTATTATAAATATTAGCGAAAAGCCCTGTATGATGCATTTTTTTTTTATATACTACGCTCCGCTGCAGTTCGTTTGATTTTCGATCAAATCAAGGCCGAACGAGCTTTAACCGAGTCGAATATGAACTAAGCTAAGTACCTTGATCTTTATACAGATATTATTTTTTTGTTTGAATTTCTTATCTTATCGGCTTGTTATACTATTTAATGGAGCTCAAACAAACTTTATATTATCAATCTCGAAATCCAAAAATTAACCGACACCGAAACCGAAACCGAAACCGAAACCGAAACCGAAACCCGAAAACCCGACATAGAGCCCACTCCCAAAAATTAACTGAAACAGAAACCGAAAACCGAAAACCCGAAAAACGAAGCTCGAAAACCGAAGCCCGAAAACCCGAAAAAAAAAAAGGTCAACATACACACAAACTGAAAAACATGGGGAATTATATTCTAACCAAATTCTATGTTTTTCAAACAATAATCTCTACCAACCTACATCAGATCAAGATCAACGTATGAAAAACTTTACATTCACAACAAGTCAAGATCGGTTTAAAAAAAAAAAAAACAGAAACCCAATAAACCGAATAATCAGACATACTTAATAAAAATAAATGATTTCAGAAACTAAAACAATAATAATAAAAAAAAAAAAAAAAAAAAAGAGGAACCTGTTTTCCCATTCTAACAATAATGTAAGGATCGCTGCCCAATGCGTCTCTTTTAGCAAGCTTTATCCCTCTTATTACATTAATCCTCAGCAAACCCACCAGTTTTTCGTCCATTTGTCCCTCTCAAATTGGGAATACTGCAACACGCTCACTGTGTGTTTCAGTGTGTGTGAGAGAGAGAGAGAGAGAGAATTCTTCGAATTCATTCTAATGGTAGTGGGGTTTTATAGTGAGAGAAAACTGAGGTCGGATTCACATAGTATTAATTTTCAATAACAGTGTGCTTACCTTTAACTATTATGTTAAATTACAATCACCCCCTAAGGTAAGGTTTATTTACGAAACAACCCTCTCATCGTTTCATAATTACATCCACCACTTTCAGTTTGTAGATCTATTACATTAACACCCTTTTGTAGGGGTGGATGTAAGTAATTTACAAAAATCAGGGGTCTGGATGTAATTTCTCAAAATAAAGGGGTCTTTATACTTAATTCACATTGCAGAGGAAAAAATATTATTTAATTCATTTATAATTTTTTGAAATAATTATGAAAACATTTTTTTGGAAAAGTCTGCCACAATATATCTAATTCTGGATTTGATTTTTATGCAGTTAATATTGATTGTATATATATATATATATATATATATATATATATATATATATATATATATATATATATATATATATATATATATTTTATTAATTTCTTTAATATTGATTTAATTCTTGATGTACACCCCTTCATTGTGATTAGTTACTCATCTTTATGTTTATGTAAGAAAGAAAATGACATTTTGTAATTATATTTCCTTCTATATTAATATTGGGTAGCATATATTAGAAGTTGTGATTAATTTATTTATTTTTCAAATTTTATTCATGTATAATATTTAATGTTATCAATTACATTTGTCATTTTCATTTATGATGTAAGAAGTATTATTGTAGTGGATGTCATATCTAGTCAACTTGACTTGATCTATATATAATCAATTAGATTCCTTGATTCTATTATGAGCTCACAATAAATCATAAAAATTCTACCATACTATAAACAATTGGTATTTAATCACTACATTAATCTAAGCCAATCGAAAACGTGACTAAAATATTATTTTTTGATTATATTATAGACGTCTTTTCTTTTTTCGGAGCGCTGCCCTGAATCTCTGAATATTTAAGTCTATCGTGTAACAAAATTCTAAATCTTTTGCTCTTGGAACAATTAATGTGTCATTAATCTATTTATGAATAATTTATTTTAATATTTTAATGAAAGAAATTCGTTTTAATATTCAAGATTTCTTTCTCCTTCTTTTTCTTAATTTTTTTACTTTTTTTTTTGTGCATATTGATAATATATAATTATGTGTGTGGACATCAATACATTGAATAATTGGCCCTTTAGCTAAGTAATTTGACTTGTCAACATTAAACAGCATTAAATAAATTCAATTAAATGCATGGTGGAATGAATTGTTTATTTATTTAATATTCTCTTGCAATTATTGAATTTATTGTTATAGTCACTTGGCTTGTTTTTCTGCTTTGTTTCAGGTGTTAACTGTCTTCTTAAATCTCAAGGCTTTATGTGACGTGACGACTTCTATGTTATAATATATAATAATAATTATTATTATTTTATATATTATCAAATTTAATTACTAATTCTATTTTAAATGTAGTGCTATGCAAACAGATAAATACTGAAGGATTTGTCTTTTCTAATATTTTGAACACTGGATCAGACTGGTCGGTGTCCGACAGCTTAACCGCGAACCGTCGCCAACTTCGGTTCGGTTGGATGTGAAAACTCGAAAATGCAAAAAACCCGATCGGATGCTACAAAGAAACCGGAATCGGTCAAAATCGGGTTTTTTCATCAAAACAAAGAAAAAAAACATAGAGATAGATAAATGAAAATCAAATTTCTCCTCAAGTGGGTCTACTGGAATTTTATTTTATCATAAATATTTTAATTTATCGTTGAAGATTCTGATTCCCTTATCATCCAATAGTGAATTCCTCCTCATTAACTAATCGAGTACTAAGTTCTCTCGTGTGAAATTACAATTTTGGGCTCACCACAAATTTTTAGCCTTGTGATATACCTACTAACATTTCATTTTACAAAATCCACACTATTTTAAAATTATTCAAGCATTACATTTATTTTTAACAAAATTAAGGGGTCAATATCTTATCTTATATATAAAAGAAAAAAACGCTAAGGGTAACCTATGAAACCCTAATGACATATTTGTAAAAATAAATTAATTAATGTGTATATATAATTTTTTTTATCTTCTATTTTAGAGCAATTTTTCTCTAATTACTTTAATACGAAATCTCGGCGAGCGCAATCATAATCCACTACATTTATATTTCTTAATTATTATTATTATGTTTAATAATACACTTATTTATTTTTCTCTTTTTTAACTTATTTTACTCAAAATCATTATTATTATTATTATTATTATTATTATTATTATTATTATTATTATTATTATTATTATTATTATTATTATTATTATTATTATTATTATTATTATTATTATTATTATTATTATTATTATTATTATTATTATTATTATTATTATTATTATTATTATTATTATTATTATTATTATTATTATTATTGTAGCACCCCCTCTATTATAGGCGATAAATCGAACCGGTTTATCGGAATTAAGTTGTTTAGCGGAAGCAATTTATAGGATCTCCAAGAAAATCAACACTTTCGATTTTAAAAACCATACTTGAATATTTAGAATTCTAGTAATTTTCGCAACATTGTTTTGAAAAGCTTGAGACGATTATATTTATATATATATATATATATTTTTTTGAGAAGGAGTTTATTCGAGTGCTACACTATCATAAAACGTAGGTTCGAAATAAAAATCAGAGTTTAGAAATATTTTGGCGACGAACGATAAAAGCACGGAATAAACGAACTATTCATAAATATAAACGGATCAATATATTATAAAGTTTCAAAAGGGGATCCGTTACCTATTAAAGTCCCGTACTTTAAAAACGAGTACGATATATAGTAAACGAAACGGAAGTTACTTTATATTACATCACCAAAATAGTACTTAGCCACACTTATAGAACCCTCGTTCGAACTTCCAAAAACTCCGGGCAAGACTTCGATCCACTACTCGGTCCATTCCGGGGGAGGGTTACCACTAGCACTACCTGCAATTAGAAAATATCTATATGAGCTATTAAGCTCAGTAAGAAACTCGAGGGATTACCGAGGGTTGAAAATAGGTTATACATATATATAGTATATATAACATTCCGATCACCTTCACCGAGTCATACAACATCAAACAAGAATCGAGTCAAAAGGTACGAAAGCATATAAGTCACAAACATGCTCATGAATGCAATCCGTGTAAAAATCATTTTTTTTTCATTTATCGGATCCGTGAAAGATTAATTTCTATATTCGGATAATAAACCGTTTCGAGCCCGTCTATGGATCCAATATCACTCATATCACTCGTATCACTCCTCTCAACCCTAGTTGGATACCGGCCCACCGTATCCGATTCGTTTATTACCCAAACATTCCATTAATCTTTCAATTTTATCAAAAACAAATGCATGTCGTGGAATGACTACAAATTATGTGCAAGTCATTAAAACATCACAAATATCAATCAAGTGAATAACCACCCCAATCAAATACAATTATCAACCACTTAATTGCACATTTAACCAACACATATATCATTACCACATACACACACATTCTGCCCACATATACACACGTACACACACAATCACATACATGCATATGCCATGCAACCATAAACATGCATAATAAATAGCACAATCATGTCTTTAAAGTAAAGACACTTTTATTCCATCATTTAATTGGTTTCTCACCACTTTCACTCATTAATTTCATCTTAATAAATTCCAGCAGCCTCATAAATATGTTTCTGCCACAAATCCATGTTCATAACCCCATGCCTTACAATTTAAATCACACAATTCCAAGACATAGCACTTAAAGCACAAGAACTTCATAATTAGCACCTAAACCTTTAAAATTCGAAATAATAGTAAAAGATCTTTAAAAATTCTCAAATTAAATCCTAGAACTCCTAACTAATCCAAATTTCAGATTCTGAAATTTATTCAAGTTTTCACAAAGTTTCGAATTTTCTAGAAATTAAAAACTAAAGGAAATATAAAACCCTTTGTAAAAAAAAAAAAAAACCAAAACTCCAATATGACTTTAATATTTTGAAAACTTTTGTAAAGAAAACTTTTTCTTATTTAATACTTGCTGGAAAACAGATTCAAAATCAAGAAATGAGAGATTTTTCAGAAATTGCAGTTTTGACCCCAAAATTTCAAAATTTACACATGCAACCACACTAGAAGTTCAAAATCCACTTTTTCATGAAAAACCCTTAACAAATCTGAAATTCTATTTTATTAGATGGAGAAATCGAAGTTGAAAAGTCACTTTATGCAGAATTTTCGAAAATTACATAATTTACCCCGAAATACCTAGATCTACACATGCAAGACCACTAGAAGTTCAAAAAATCACTTTTTCTTGCAAAACTTCTTTAAATCCGAAATTTTTGTTCAATAAATGCTGGAAAACAGTTTTGAAAACACGTTTAGGCCGGACTTCTCAAAAATTACAGATTTGGCCCAAAACTTCTAAGATCTACACATGCAACCCCAAAAAAGTTCAAAATTCATTTTCTTGAAACCCCTTTTTTGAAATCTGAAATTGTTGATGTTTTTGGCCAATAAAATTTGTATCCACCTACTACCAACATAGATGAGGCATGCAAGAAGAAGAGATTAAGGATTAACACAAAATTTCCATTTTCCCCAAAAAAATCCCTAACTTTCGAAATACTTAAAAGTCTTTTAGGTAATCTTGAAAACTCTTTTAAAATAATATGATATCTTCTAATTGCAGCAAGAAACTCGAAATTTCTTACCCAAATCACCAAAAGGAAAATGAAGAACAAGCAAAATAGAGAGACTTCAAGGGTTGATGCCAAACTCGAACCAAGCTACTTTTATGGTGAAAGATATAGTGTGTGCTTCCAAAATGGATGTGTTGTTTTCTCCGGTGAATGGACAAGTAGTTTTTATGGTGTTCTTTGCATACTCTAGAGCCATGGTTAAATAGGGGATTTTCATGGTGGCTTTTGATTTTTCTTGTAAAATGAGTGGTGATGTG